GAAGGAAGGAAGGAAGGAAGGAAGGAAGGAAGGAAGGAAGGAAGGAAGGTTGGTTGGTTTCAGCCATTAAATTATTCTAGCCATGCAAGGTGCAAGATCAAATATCTCATGTAATAATAATTTTAAAAAAATTAAAGTAACCCAAATAATGCACTCCGGTGCATTTGGAATGTATCTTCTGCTTGCTTGACTTTTACATGTAATTTTAAGGGCTGGTTAGAAAGACTGATAAAGGAGTAAGAAATATTAAAAGTAAGCAAACAAAAATGATGAGCCCAAACAAAAAAGAATTGTTCTGGATCTTATTAGATAAAATACAATCTAGGGCTAATTTATAATATATCATCTCCCTTTAAAGTTCAAGAAAGGATATTGTCATATGTTTTGCATTTTTTGGATAATGAAATCTAAGCTGACACATTCCATCTTCATTTCCTTATTGCAATGAATCTGTACAGTCTCTGCACACATTCTTATATAAAAGATAGAGGCAAAGTAGTACTATGGCTATGGTGCCGATAATGAATATGGGTAATTCATTCAAACCCCTTCCAGGTACTAATGATATATATGAGGATATTTCTCCAACTAATTTCGCTTTCTTAAGATCATCACCAAAAAGAACCATATTTGTCACTTTAAGAAAGATGTCTGCAAACACAAATTGTGATGTATTGTGATTTGAAAAATTGTCCATATATATTTATGGTTTAAAAGATTCTAATCTGATGTTGAATGATTTATGTTAACTTACCACATCACTAGCACCAGAAAATTCATTGTTAACCAAGCTTTCAAGAGCCATCCAACGCACTGGTCTGTTTTCATTGTCTCCGAGGCAATGATAATCCATTGGAAATAAGTCTCTGGATAGAGCATTATCTGTAATCTTTACCTGAAGTGCATCATCAATGCTGCATATTGAAATATATATGCACAACCATTTAGGCAGGCCAGTAAAACTTTTATAGGTAAGTCTTAAGTCATCTTTAAACTCCTTCCCATACAAAGCTCACAAAATAACAATGTATAATATAGTCTAATATTAGTAGTGCAAAAATTATTCATTTAATTATTGCTAAGGATTTGACACTCCTTAAAACCTAAGTGCATCCCATCCCATTTGACTGCTACTACAGTTCATCCAAATATATAAAAAAATTATGTGAAGGAATATAGCATAAAGTGGGTATTTAACTGTTATCAATTACATAAAGCTGACTAAATAAGGAATTACAGAATGGCAACCATGATTTGTAAAACTTTTCATTACTTTCAATGCCAACACATATTTAAAATTAACAGATCTTCCATTATGATGGATGGAATATGAGCAAGGAATAGTCTGTATTCTGTAGAATCCAGGGAATACAACCTTTTTGGATTTTAATTTACTATTACAATTATGATGAAAGACAAGATTTACCATCAAAGCAATGTATCATCAAATTCAGCATCCAACTGTTATTTTAATTTAGAACAAAGGTATTACAATGTGCTTTCTACCCCATGAGACCTAATTAAACTAGCACCCATCAGCATAATCTCAGCCTAGGTTTTATTTTTATTTCTTCATCATAAAGAGTCTGAGGAATGTTGAGAGCTGCTTTTTATAGTGGGAAACAAGGATGATACTGGAAGTTTATTACAGAGCATGATGGAAACAGCTATATTCCATCAAAACATTATATATCTATATCTATATCTATATCTATAAGAAAGAAAGAAAGAAAGAAAGAAAGAAAGAAAGAAAGAAAGAAAGAAAGAAAGAAAGAAAGAAAGAAAGAAAGAAAGAAAGAAAACTAACTTATGTGGCCCTCTATCTTATGCACAATATTCCTAAGCAGCTCACCAATAAACCAATAAAAACAACTGTATCACCCATACAAAGGAGCATCACATTTCCCACAATATAGCTGTTCTTATCTGATAGTTGATTCCAGGTTATTGAGGGTCATTCTCCAAGATTCAAGTGTAGTATCAGTCAGTATGCTAACTTCTAATAGTGTTATGGGCCTGCCTGATGATCAGACTCTGAAATGGAGGAACAAGCTTGGCAGGTTCTGATCTTACAAATCAGGAGCCAGTGGACTCTCAGAGGTATCTATAAATGAGGGTCAGAAAGATCGAGTCCTGTTGGAAGATGAGCCTGCAGGTCTGGAGCAATCAGGTAATCAACCATCTGTTGCAAAGCATAGCAGCAGGCTGAGTCACCTAATCTAGTGCCTGAGGAGGAAAAGATTCTCAGGCCTCATACCCACATTATATGAGCAAAACAGATATTCAATGAGGCTCCTTGAAAGAAAAAGGCATGACTCAGGAAAATAGGCATGCCTGAGTCAGTGCTATAAAAGAAGGTCTCGGAAGTCAGATTTCTGCTGGCAAACAACTTTCCAAGCTTGGACCTGAGTTCCCAAACATGTGCTGCTTCTGATTCCTTGACTTATCTTTGGACTGGTACAAGACTATAATTAGCTCTGATTCCTGGTTCTTAAACTTTGTCTGCATTGGGAAGTTTTCAGTTAGCGATAATCGCACCTCAGATTAACCTCATTGGCTATGATACTTCCACTGTGCAAAGCTACAACAATTGGAGGTAGATGCACGTTTAGAAAGTGATCATCATCCCTTATTATTCACTCTGACACCTCACTGGAAACATGTAAAAGAAGATATAATTTATCCCCCATTGTTTGATGATAATAATACTGTGGTGTGAACTAGATGGAATGACAACAATGCAGTAGCAGTTGCTAAATGGATGGCAGCTCCAGAAACCACAGAAATCTGTGCACACCTGCTAGATAATAAATCCCAAAGATCACATTTAAATTGGTATGAAATGTTAATTGCTAATCTTAAATCAATTCTTGTTAAAGGAACACAACATTATTCTAGAAATCGGGTTATAAAAAACAAAAAATGGTTTGACCAGGAGTGTGTTCAGATGAAAGGGCATATAATAGGGCATACAGAAAAAGTAAAAATTCCCCTTTGGGGGGACAATCATACCTCTTAAAGGAGTTAAAGATTCAGTATAAGACCCTTTTAAAAGAAAAGAAAAGAAAAGTCTAGCACTGAAGGAGCT